GATGATATAAATAAAACCCAAAGAGAGGCCGGGACCAGCATCTGCAGTGATATGGGAGGGAGGAGGGGAAGTGTTGAATCTCTCCAGAGGCTTATGAGGCTCCTGACATGAAACTGCTTAGTACCCTGCTGCTTATAATTATTAGTGCACAAAAAGACACATTCTGCGTTAAATTTAGCTGAACACCTGAAGTCCTCATGCACACGGGACGTTTTTACAGCGGCTGTTTTTGGCTTTTGACATTTTTTTTCTACAGCTAGTAAACTCCCAGCATGTGTCCATGCACACACAGACTGTGTGCTTTCAACATTTTTTGGCAGGGGTGTTTTTTGGCTAGAAAAAAAACCCAGGACTAGTGGGTTTCTAGAGTTTTTTTAGCTGAAAAATTCTCCAATGCTGAAAAACACAGTAAAGCACTGTAAATTGTGTCAAATCGAGTCTTTGGACCTTTTTTTGACCAAAAAGAAATTTTTTTTTGGTAAAAAAAAAACCTCTAAAAGACACTAGCTAACGTGGCAAAACGCCACTAAACTCTAAAAGAAAAATGCTAAAAACCGCTGAAAAACTCACATTTTTAACATGACTTTACACAGCTAAAATTACCAGCGTTAATAAATACCCCGTGTACATGGAGCCGAATAGGTCGATCTAATGCACGGTATCATTCTCATATTAAAATGTATAACTCCAAAAAGCTTAGAGATTGATTCTAAATATATACGCCTTCCACGCTGTATGGGAAGCCCTAGGTTTGTATTATGTATAGACTAGCAAAAACACACCTATGTAGACACTGGAAGGCTTTGGGTGTCTAATTAAATCTCTGTATTTTCCTGTGCCAAAACAGGCAACCTTCTCTTAGTAATCCCATGTCCCAGCACAGCTGGACATAAGTAAATCAACTGACCATAAATTATATACAGTATATCACATATATTAAATTCAGTTAATGTGTGTTTTGTTCTATGTGCGCACATCCAAGACCCGTCTTATTTTGAGGGTGCAGTAGCTATCAAGCAGGCTACATCAGTCAGCTGCCCCCATGAATAATCCACAACAGTGTCTAAGATTTGATGGTGCTCGTAGAGTTATGTTTGGCTGCTCAACTTAACCATCATTCATCATCAGCTAAGGTTGATTAGTACCTTCAAGAGCAAATCCAAGCAGCAAAGAAACATCATTGAGCCACTGATGCTATTTAGCAATGACTGCAACTGTGGTTAAGTCATACAATTTTCTCAATTTTCCTTAATTTGCTATGATACAGCCATAATACTGAGAACACTTCACAGGGTCACTAGGACTGTACTTCCAAAACTCCATGCTGTGTGATTCCTCTGACCTTGAATCATTGAATCCAGACCCAATACAGACTGGATTGAAGTGAACTAAGTTTGTTTCTAAGAGCCCCGTCTTTGGAATATATGCACCTTGACTACCTTGGCTCCCACCTGAGACGCAGTGGCCTTACCTTGGTCTTCTTATTTGCACCTCTATGGGCAATATGCACATGCTATGAATTTGTCTACCCTACGGGCTGATTTTACTCTGTTCCTGCAGATGGACTCCCAAAATGCATGTGAATTGCAATCGGAATATTTGCATGTTGTGAACCCCTATGTGGAGAGCAATTTTTAATGTTGTGAAATAGATTTTTAATCATATAATAAATTTGTTTTTATGGTACTCAGTTTCTCTTCTATATGTCCACACAAGGTCCACGACTACATATTTTGTTCATAGTTGTACATGATTTGCTGGGAAATGGATGTATAGCACACACAGTCTGGGTTTCTCTCCTGCTATAGATCATTTAAGCAGGAGGTCAGCAATAGTTTCCCTCTTATTTTCTTTATATTCGTTCAAATTGTGTAATTGGATTAATAACGCCAGAATATCAATCCTTCATCCAAATCCTCCTGTTTTTTACATTTAGGTCCTGATGAAGAGGGCCCATTTAGAATCCCTGAAATGTACATTTTCAATAAACACTGGGTCTAATAAACTTATTCTGCACTTCAAAAATATCTTGGCCCTCTTGTTCTTACAATTTTAAGACAATGTACAGACAACTTATCCATAGTTGCTTATTAAAAAAAATAAAAAAATCTTTGTGATACCCATCTTCACCAGGGATCCAGCACACCAAACACCCCATTTCTTATTCATTTTGAATGGCATACCAGTGCCTATAGTGTATATAGGAAACAAAAGACGCACCAGCATGAAGAGCCAGTTTTAAGAAATTAGGCTGCCATAATGCAAAACACATTACCGTTAGCCTACTAGCAACTTTAAAGAGGTCCTCTACAAATTGGTGATAACAGAACATGTACGATGGACTAAATGTGCTGTTTTACATACTTGTAGCTGTTCAATATACGTATAGTTTTTTTCAGTGCATATGGTAACTTTAGTCCTCTCCGAGTGCAATCGGGCATATGGACAAGAAAGGCAAAGCTTGATAAGAAGACTGTGTTTTATTTACATGGATTAGACACATATGGTACTTTCTCAGACACATAGCAATAAATACATCACTAGACTTTCACTGCATGGACTGTACAGTATATACACATTGAGGAAAGCTGACACTTTGTGCAACCTGGTCAATGTCCTGGACATCAAGAAGACACATTAGAGAAGGCAGATAACTGCTGAATGTGCCTTAGTGCATGTGGGTGGAGCACATCAGTACCCACTGCTCAAGAGAGAAAGAATCCTTCCTACTGTGATGCATCTACAAATCAAAGTGTTATAAATATAACATTTTTATATCCCCAGGGCTCTCTTTAAACCAAAAATAAAAATCTTTTTCAGCATTTTCAATGCAAGTGTTATCAGACAGGGGGCAGCACTGTGCAGAAGAAGCTGTATTATGTGGGTAGTTGTGCGAACAGACAAAATTGTGCTAGGTCAGGATTGGGATGTGCACTTTAACATGTTATTTGGAATGGGTGTGGAAATGTGCTATTAAGAGACAGAAATGTATGGAGAAAGTGATGCTCAGAAAATGTGTATTTATAAACTACGGTTCAAAGGGGCACAGTATTAGACCCTGCTAGGTAATGTGGCTAAATTGTATTAAATTTTCTCCTAATTGACCATCATCTATCTGAAACCTCCTTATAATGCATAGAGCATGTGAGGAGGCGACATAAAACCCTATACACGTTATTATTTGTTTCTGGTTCTGTAATGTTGCTTTTAAAAAAACTTTAAAAGGGATTCCCTAATGAATATAAAGTAGATCTTTTTCTTTCTTTTATTTTCACTTTTAAGGCTGACTGTTCATGAAACACCCAGTCGCCTCCAGGCCTAGTTGTCTGCAGAGTGATGCAGAGCAATCCATACACTCATAAAGTTGGCTCTGCGGACTTTACAGTTTATGTGCATGGAGAGGAAAGAAGACAGAAGCAGGAAACCATCACCAGCCTATCAGCAGGGGAAGTAGCTACAAGAGGGGTTTAGAATTTGCCAGATATTCTAGCCACCAGAACTATGAAATCGCATTCCAAACCAGACAAAAAGAGCCAAACCGTCCGTCATCTCATGGGTGTCTTAAGCCTGGCTGTAAAGAGACAGATGTCTCACTAAAAACCAGGAGATTCCCGTGATCACATATATATACCCCAAAAGGACCCGCTGCAATCATCTCTCCATCTCAGTTGACAGTTGACAAACACTATCTAAAATACTTGTTCCCTTTACTCCCATTTGCGACTTCCTGCACAGCCTGATCTTTGCCCAGCCATCACAAAAAATGCTTGACCTTGGTACATCTCTTCCAAACATCAATCTATAATCTATATTTGCATTCACAAACAAATAGACAAGTTGCAATGTCCATTTTCATCTAGAGAAAACAAAGGTGCTGGGATGGCACAGGAGGCGGTCAAAACTTCCGAAGTTCATTTTCAGTATATTTTGGACAACCTCTATACTGTAAGTCTGTGACTACGGTGGGTAATTGTCATGTTTTCTATCTGAATGCCCAAAGCTGTAATGTGATGTTTTTTAAATCATAAAATAAAAACAACCAAAAAATGATGTATTGTATTGAGAGATCATAGTTTTGAAAACTATAACGGGGCATAGACCAATAAATTACGATTCATGTACAGATGTGTTATGAATGCACCACAAATAAGGAACTGGGTATGGTGGTGCTCATTTATGTAAAGGTTATGCTTGATGATAAAAGATTAGATATTGGTTTAGGTTTAGATGAGTTACCCCATTTAAATAGTGTATTGTTCTGTCAATGTATTATGCAGATATCTGACCTTCCAACAAATAACTGAGATTTGGGTGATAGGATCACTGTCAGCAGTCTAACATTAGAAGTCTATACTGTTCTGTGGTCTTCAAAGGAAACAGATGCCAAATAGCAGCTGTAGAGCAAAATGAAAATGTCTTGCAGGTTTGTTCAGTGAACAATGAGGTGCTATATTGAAACATATTCCTCTATGTCATTTATTTGGAACGATATGATCCTAGCCCACAACAGATGCTGCATTAAAATGGGTAAAGATTGTCGGCTGCATGTCAAAACTAATGGTCTATGCCATTCAGGAAGACCAGCAGTATTGTCCGGGTTACCCATCAGCTGTATTCACGTGGCATGATGGTGTAAATACTCATGAGCACAGTTTAATGTGGCCCCTAGAGACCCAAGAAGAGTGGGAAGATATGTCTATTGAAACCCCCCAGGATTAGGTAGGGAGATCTTGACCCACAAAAGTGCAAACATTCCATTTCAGTGTTATCACATTGTGTTTCCATCTATTGTCTCTGAAGGCTCCTCCAACTTGCTTGTACAATTCCATTTTCAACATGATGGATTTGGTGCAGTTTGCATCAGTTTGATAGTATTGTTCTTAAGAAGGAGCTTGTGGTTTTATTTGATAGTTTTCTGAAGGCTGAGTATGGTGTCTGTAGAGTTTGGCAAACTCAGTGATCGTCTATAAGTTCTGACCTCGATTCTTTCTTTGTTTATTTTAAAATGGAGGATGATCCATCTCGTCTAACCAGGAACCTGGGCTAGTAGGAAAATCTGGATAGCCCATGCTGCTTTCTGTGGAAATATCGGATGTGGGCGCAGCTGGTAGTGCTCGTAAAGGAGCATGGGGTAAAAGCCCCCCTGAATTGTCCATATTGTATGGCAATCCATGTGATGGAAGGGAGGAGATAGAAGAGGGTGACTGAGGAATGTCATACGGACTACCATCATGAAGATCTTGGTAGGATTGTCCAGTAGCATCTATCGTGAAGCCTCCATTGGTCAGTGGCACATTTACAAGGTCCCCTCCTGCACTGTAAATGCCTCCTGTAGATCCCAGCTCGGACAAAATTTGGTCATCTGTTGAAAAAATACAGTGGTTAAATGAGTTACTGTCATATACTGTACATATTGTGCTCAAAAGCTTTTGAAAAAGTATAATTCATTTGCTTGCCAGGCTAGCTAAAAAGGCAGCTTCAATAGAACTAAGAACTAAGGACATTTATCTGTCTGTCTCCAAGCAAGGGTAAATCATACCTGAAACGGGGAGTTAGGGGAGAAAGTAATATCAAGTTTTGGTGCAGGTGATAGTAATACTTTCTCCCCTAACTCCCCCTGTTTCAGTTATGATTTACCCTTGCTTGGAGATCATGAGTTTGTACCCTTTTTTGCCCCCTGTACAACACCTTTGACCCATATACATTATATTGCCAAAAGGATTGGGACGCCTGCCTTTACACGCACATGAACTTTAATGGTATCCCAGTCTTAGTCTGTATAGTTCAATATTGAGTTGGCGCCGCCCTTTGCAGATATAACAGCTTCAACTCTTCTGGGAAGGCTGTCCACAAGGTTTAGGAGAGTGTCTATGGGAATGTTTGACCATTCTTCCAGAAGCGCATTTGTGAGGTCAGGCACTGATGTTGGACAAGTAGGCCTGGCTCACAGTCTCTGCTCTAATTCATCCCAAAGGTGTTCTATCGAGTTGAGGTCAGGACTCTGTGCAGGCCAGTCAAGTTCATCCACCCCTAACTTACTCATTCATGTCTTTAAGGATCTTGCTTTGTGCACTGGTGCGCAGTCATGTTGGAACAGGAAGGAGGCATCCCCAAACTGTTCCCACAAAGTTGGGAGCATGAAATTGTCCAAAATGTCTTGGTATGCTGACGCTTTAAGTGTTCCCTTCACTGGAACTATGAGGCCAAGCCCAACCCCTGAAAAAAAACCCCACACCATAATCCCCCCCTCCACCAAACTTTACACCTGGCACAATGCAGTCAGGCAAGTACTGTTCTCCTGGCAAACGCCAAACCCAGACACATTCATCGGATTGCCAGACAGAGAAGTGGGATTCATCACTCTAGAGAACACATCTGCACTAGAGTCCAGTGGCGATGTGCTTTACACCACTGCATCCGACGCTTTGTATTGCACTTGGTGATGTAAGGCTTGGATGCAGCTGCTCGGCCATGGAAAACCATTCCATGAAGCTCTCTACACACTGTTGTTGTGCTAATCTGAAGGCCACATGAAGTTTGGAGGTCTTTAGCAATTGACTCTGCAGACAGATGGCGACTTCTGCACACTGTGTGCTTTAGCATGCACTGACCCCGCTTTGTCATTTTACGTGGCCTACCACTTCGTGGCTGAGTTGCAGTTGCTCCCAGTTGCTTCCACTTTGTTATAACACCACTAACAGTTGACCGTGGAATATTTAGTAGCAAGGAAATTTCACGGATGGACTTATTGCACAGGTGGCAATCTATCACTGTACCACGCTTGGAGTCACTGAGCTCTGAGAGTGACCCATTCTTTCACCAATGTTTGTAGAAGCAGTCTGCATGCCTAGGTGCTGATTTTATACACTTGTGGCCATGGAGGTGATTTGAACACCTGAATTCAATGATTTGTCCCAATACTATTGCCAATATATTGTATATATATTTTTTCATATGTAGTGATGTGGGGATTTACCATTGTAATATTTAGACTATATTTAGTTTGATCCCTGTTTTGACTCTTTAAGCATGTTTAATGGTTTTTTTAAGTTTTTAGATAACCACAGTTAATGTGCTGGTGTTCTGTCTCCAATCTTTATGGCAGGGTTACTCAACTGGGGCTCCACAGAATTCCAGGGTTCCATGAGAGGTCCCTAAGTGTTCCGTCGTGATTTACATGTCAGTCACAGGAAGCTGACAAGTAGATCATATCCTGTCTGCCAACACAGGCAAAGCTAGGCAGGGAAGCTGTTGTGATAGTGCTGGTTGTGGAACTTCCCTGCCAGCATATTCACTGGCTTCTGATGTAGCCTCTTCAAGGGTATGATCATCAAACAAATATTTTATACTATGTGTGTCTATATGCATTGATAACGGTAATGGTTTTACCTTATATTCCCTGTGCATAATTCACTGAGGGGTCACATCTATAAAGTCTCATTGTCTATTTTATACCTGTATTCAATCTAGCTACCTGAGAAGTCCATTTTCAAGAATATACTAGGACAGCAAGTGTGAAAAGTCTATATTTCATGTACTGTCCTGGAATACAACTTAAGTAAATATAATTTATTGTGGCCTAATGATAATGCCTATTGATGCCTGTGGTAGGGAAAAACCTAACTGATCTTAGACTGGTATAAATATAGAATAACTCGTGTGTGTGTGTCTGTGTGTGTGTGTGTGTGTGCGTGTGTGCGTGCGTGCGTGCGTGCGTGGGCCCACGCACATCAGATCTCAATGGAAAATAATATCATACTGGATATTTATACTGATATGGACTGAGTAATGTGTTAGGAATGTAAGGATGCCCCATTGTTTGATGGAAATGAAAATTATTAACCTACAGAAGACTGAATTCAAAGACACACTGAAAATCAAAGTGAAAAAAATGATGCAGCAGGCTAGTCCATTTTGCTAAAATTTCATTGCAGCAACTCAAAATGGTACTCAGTAGTTTGTATGGCCCCCACGTGCTTGTATGCATTCCTTACAACGTCGGGGCATGCTCCTGATGAGACAATGGATGTTGTCCTGGGGTATTTCCTCCCAGATCTGGAACAGGGCATCACTGAGCTCCTGGACAGTCTGAGGTGCAACCTGGCAGCGGCAGATGGACTGAAAGATGATATCCCAGAGGTGTTCTATTGGATTTAGGTCAGGTGAGCGTGCGGGCCATTCAATTATATCAACTCCTTCATCCTCCAGGAACTGCCTGCATACTCTCACCACATGAGGCCAGGCATTGTCATGCACCAGGAGGAACCCAGGACCCACTGCACCAGCGTAGGATCTAACAATGGGTCCAAGGATTTCATCCTAATACCTAATGGCAGCCAGGGTGCTATTGTCTAGCCTGTAGAGGTCTGTGCATCCCTCCATCGATATGCCTCCCCAGACCATCACTGACCCACCACCAAAACGGTCATGCTGAACGATGTTACAGGCAGCATAACATTCTCCACGGCTTCTCAAAAACCTTTCACGTCTGTCACGTGCTCAGGGTGAACCTGCTCTCATCTGTGAAAAGTACAGGGTGCCAGTGGTGGACTTGCCAATTCTTGTATTCAAAGGTAAATGCCAATCAAGCTCTCTGGTGCTGGACAATGAGCACAGGGCCCCCTAGAGGACTTTGGGCCCTAAGGCCATTCTCGTGAAGTCTGTCTCTTATTGTTTGGTCAGAGACATTCCCACCAATGGCCTGCTGGAGGTCATTTTGTAGGGCTCTAGCAGTGCTCATCCTGTTTCTCCTTGCACAAAGGAGCAGATACCTTTCCTGCTGATGGGTTAAGGACCTTCTACGGCCAGCTCTCCTAGAGTAACTGCCTGTCTCCTGGAATCTCCTCCATGCTCTTGAGACTGTGCTGGGAGACACAGCAAACCTTCTGTCAATGGTACATATTGATGTGCCATCCTGGAGGAGTTGGACTGCCCATGCAACCTCTATAGGGTCCAGGTATTGCCTCGTGCTACCAGTAATGACACTGACCCTAGCCAAATGCAAAACTAATGAAAAACAGTCAGAAAAGATGAGTAGGGAAAAAATGTCAGTAGCCTCCACCTGTAAAACCATTCCTGTTTTGGGGGTCGTCTCATTGTTGCCTAACTAGTGCACCTGTTGTTAATATCACAGAAATTTAATTGACTTGAATGCTATACTCTGATTCCTTTAATTTTTTTAAGCAGTGTGTATATATATATATATATATTTGCAAGAAAAAGTATGTGAACCCCTTGGGATTACGTGGAGTTTTGCATGAATTGGGCATAAAATGTGCTCTGAACGTCATCTAAGTCACAACAATAGAAGAACACAGTCTGCTGAACATAATACTACACAAACATTAGATGTTGCCATGGTTTAATTGCACATAACATGTAAACATTCACAGTGCAGGGAGGAGTATGTGAACCTTTGGACTTAATAACTGGTTGACCCTCCTTTGGCAGCAAAACCTCAACCAAACGTTTCCTGTAGTTGCAGATCAGACCTGCACAATGATCTGGAGTCATTTTGGACCACTCCTCCTCACAAAACTGTTTCAGTGTAGCAATATTCTTGGGATGTCTGGTGTGAATCGCTCTCCTAAGGTCATGCCACAGCATTTCAATGGGGTTGAGGTCAGGACTCTGACTGGGCCACTCCAGAAGGCTTCTGTGCTGTTGCAGCCATTGTTTTTGTTGAATTACTTGTATGCTTTGGGTCATTGTCCTGTTGCATCACCCATCCTCTGCGGAGCTTCAGTTGGCGGACAGATGGTCGAACGTTTTCCTGCAAAATGTCTTGATAAACTCTGGAATTCATTTTCCCATCAATGACAACAATCCGCCCAGGCCCTGAGGCAGCAAAGCAGCCCCAAACCATGATGCTCCCTCCGCCATGTTTCACAGTGGGGATGAGGTTTTGATGTTGGTGTGCTGTGCCTTTTTTTTCTCCACACATAGTGTTGTGTGTTCTTCCCAAACAACTCAATCTTGGTGTCATCTGTCCACAGTATATTTTGCCAGTAGTGCTGTGGAACATCCAGGTGCTCTTTTGCAAACTTCAAACGTGCTGCAATATTCTTTTTGGACAGCAATGGCTTCCTCCGTGGTGTCCTCCCATGTATTCCATCTTGTTTAATGTTTTCCTTATTGTAGATGTGTCAACAAAAATGTTAGCATGTGCCAGAGATTTCTGTAGGTCTTTAGCTGACACTCTGGGATTCTTCTTTACCTCATGCAGCATTCTGCGCTGTGCTCTTGCAGTCATTTTTACAGGACGACCGTGCCTAGGGAGAGTAGCAACAGTGCTAAACTTTCTCCATTTGTAGACAGTCTGCCTTACCATGGACACATGAACATCAAGGCTTTTGGAGATAC